TTTTTTGGAAAAATAACATATTAACATCACCAATAAGTGCATGCCACTTAGGCAGTGGGCATATTAACATGTGCCCACCGTGGGTAGGTGAGTATTTCTCGTCAGTCCCATATTAATATTACAGTTAGCCCATTAATTGTAAGAAGGAAACGAGCCTGAAGAGAGCACTTTCTAAAAATTTTCAAACTTATTATCTCGCCGTAATTACGTCAAACCATAAGGGTGACTTTATATGAGTGCGCAGTTGCGCTAGTTCGATTTGTTACATTTTTGTAATAAAAAAAATATATGTTTATATTATGAAAATATCATTTTATTATTAATGTTTTTTTTTTAGAGCACTGACATTTCAATTTAAAAGTATGTACATGCTTGTTTAATGTTTAATATTTAAAATTTAATAAGTACGATTGTTTAACCGTTTGGCCTGACTAATACCAAACTTATTGATAGTAGTTAAAAAAAAAAAAAAAAAAAAAAAAAATTACCTTTATATTAATTAGCACTTACCTACTCTTTGGGAAGATTTTGGGTGAGTGGTCAAGATAGAAGGTTGTAATATTCTTAGCCGCATACAAAGGGCGATTGTCCGTTCCAGGAGCTGTTATCATGGTTGCAATAAGGCCACCTGTGCTTGTTCCCGCTATTACATCAAAATAATCTGCAATTCTTGCATTTGGACCATCCAATTCCTATAACCATAAATAAATAAATAAGTAAATAATAATAATAATAATAATAATAATTAGCATATACGAAAAATGCTATAGTCCCGTTACGAAACCATTCTGTAAGAATTTGTAACCGTTAGATCATTATGTAGCCGTCGTGGATAGTTGATCTAACGGTTACGAGCCCTGACGGAATGGTTATTTAACGAGGCCGTAGAATCTCCCTGCATGTACATACATGTAATAATTATTATCGATATATAAGTATTTTATATGACCTGGAGTTTAGATTCCAGGTAGGCTAAAATCGTGCCAGGGATAATTCCTCTGATGCCACCTCCATCGATGCTCAATACAGTCACCGTTCGACCTCTATTTTGAGCAGCGGAGAGTGGTAGCAGCAAAAGCTGGAGTGCTATTAGCAAATTGAATGAGAAAACAACAGCCTTTTTCCCCATATTTTATTTTATTTGTTTATTTATTTTGGTTTGGGGTATTCTTCTCTGGAAAAAAATTGGAAAGAGGCTCTTATTGTAAGAGGGTGAGTGAAAAATGGTACGTATAATTGTGTGGTTATGTGCAGTCTATTTATAGTTTGCCAGTGTGTAAGGGCAATGTGTAGAGTCATTGGATTAGATTATATATATATATATA